CCGGAACCAGGTGCGGAGGTAAGGGAGGCGCGCCAGCTCGTCCCCCTCCCGGGGCGTGATGTTGGCTCCAGCCTTTAGCAGGTGCTCGCTCATGTAGTTCCGGAAGTATTTCAGTAGTGTTATCTATAGAGACAGCCACATGGGTTAGCAGGACGAAGGAGGCTGTGTGGGGAAGATCACACTTCCAAGGCAGCATCTGCTTCCATAGCTGCATGGCCCAAGTGGGCCGATCAGCATTAGTTCCATTGCCCTCAGCAGTGAAACCTGGGGATGAGGCAGTGACCTAAGAGACGAAATTAGGACTTGCATCCTGACGTCAACCTGCCAGGTTATCGTAAGATGTGAACAAACTAGAACAGTGTGCTTGGACAATGAACCTAGATTGGTGGTTATACCTGGCCTCACTTCATGGGTTTATTCTTTAGTCCAGGTTGTTTCCAGCATTGCAGAGAACTATTGTTAATGTTTCTGTGAAACTGCATTCACGCTGGGTTTTTACAAAGTGGAAACTGAACCTGAACTGCTGCCAGTGCTCTTTTGGGGGGGGGGGGGAAGCAAAGACGTAACCTCTCTAGCCAGACCCTAGATATGTTGATTATGTTTTGTCTGCTTAGATAGCCGTTCAGACCCACAGTGTGGCAGGGGAAGGAGGAGGAGGACACAGCTCCTAGCGGCTGTTAAATTTGCATCTCCAGAGTGACTGACCTTCTTAGTTAACGTAGAGGGGTAGGATCTCACAGTGAAGTAGGACTCTGTGCTGTTTTGCTCAATGTACTGTAGGCTGTCCCCGTCGTTGTACATAATGAGACGGGTGGAGTCATTGAAGAGAACCCCAACGCTGTTATCACACAGCTGGTAGCCTGGTTAGAGAAGGGAACACATTAGATCTCCACACACTGAATGTCTCCAGGCTTGGGATGCTGTAAGTTGTAAGGGTGCCTTAGCAGAAGCCCCCCCACTCTGGCTTACCCTGGTGCCTCTCAGCTCTCTAGAGCAGGGCCACTCAACCTTTCCAGACTGCTGTACCCCTTTCAGGAGTCCGATTTGTCTTGCATACCCCAAGTTACATCTCACTTAAAAAGTACTTGCTTACAAAATCAGACATAAGAATACAAAAGTGTCACTGCACACTATTGCTGACTCTCGTTTTTACCATACAAATTATAAAATAAATCAATTGGAATATAAATATTGTACTTGCATTTCAGTGTATAATATATAGAACAGTATGAACAAGGCTGTATGAAATTTTAGTTTGTACTGACTTCACTAGTGCTTTTTATTGGTCTAGTTTTACAACAGGCTACATATTTAGATGAGTTGATGTACCCCTTGGAAAAACTTTGCATACCCCTGATTGAGAACCACAGTCTAGAGCTCCTGTTCTCAAAGGACTATGTGGGGAAACCTCCCCTACAAGAGTTAGTCATTTAACAAATAAATGCAGTGAGCTTCCCTCTTCATTGTACTGCCCTCCTCAGAATGCCAATGCTGTCTCAGCTGGCCTCATTGGTCAGCCTCTTCACCCCACCCAGCCATGTGGTCGCTGGGGCATAAGGTGTTCAGTGCCTGCCAGGATGTGGATCGGAAATCCTAGGCTCTTTAGACCGTAAGGGGTTGCCGCAGGATGTTCACGGTTCCTTCGATCAGCTGAGTATTTTGTGCTGCTCTCAGGGATGGCAACATCTGAGGCACTGCACCTTAACTGGTTAACAGGGTATAAGAACCCGCTACATCAGATGGATGATTTGCACCCTGGGCCTTTGGATCTCCCCCCACCCCCGGGAAGTTGGGGGAAGCAGCTGAAGTGAACTCGGCTGCTAGCCACGCCAAGACGCTCCCTACCTAATCCGTACTTGTCCGAGTAGTCCACCCATTTGCTAACCCAGAAGATGGGTATGCAAGCCGGATCCTCAGCCTCCTCTGCAACAGAAATGGAGTTTGTTAAATAATGTTTGTAAAGCAACCTGTGAAACCCTCCGCTGACTTGCTGGGTGCAAGGGGGAGGCAGGGGAGGGGCGAGGAGCTCCTCCACCAACCCTCCCCTTGGGAGATTTTAATCCAAGCACCTCGTAGCACTTGTAGGCTCTGAGGTCAAAAAGCAGCATGTCTGATAGCAAGGCAGGCTGTGCAGGGATCCTGCTATCTGTCAGCCCAGACCGTAGCTCACCTTGTCTCACTACTGCCCTCTCCGAGGGTTTCGCTGCATTGGCCATGCTCAGCTGCTGTAACATGTCAGCTAGGTGGCAGTCGACAGGCTCTCCCAGCTCCCGCAGTGCTGCTTCGTCTTCCTTTTCATGGGCTTTATCTAAGGCAGGGCTGTCCGGGCCTGAGCCAGAGGAGAAGAGCAGCGCGACAGCTGTGTTAGTAGCCTGAAGGCTAAAGCTGGCAGATGGTTTCAGGAGAAGTTAGATTTACCTTCCAACCCAGCTGTGGCAGTTTGCAGGACACCCCACAGGGCTGAGAGCAGACACCCACCTCTGCAATGGACAGTTCTGCCAGCCTCACCCTGCTCCATCAGAGCAGCATTACCGCAGCTAACGCTGACGACCGTGTCAGCGTCCATACCTCATGGGAGGAGATAGTCTTACCCTGCTTGGGATACTAGCCACTTCCTCTAGTGGGCAGAGGTAGGAAGGAAGAGAACGGAGTTAAGAGCTGCCAGGGGGCACCATCTTCCCTTAGGGCATTAGCCTCCTGTGTGGTGGGGGGATCGGTCAGAAGAGCAGTGACTGCTCCTGCAAGGGACAGCGCTGGATTTCCAGGACAGCATCGCCACATGAGCTCACTAGGCATAACCGTGTGTCACAGAGCGCCAAGCAGGGTTTTCATCTGTAATTTACTCTCAACCCCAGTCTTCTCCGCCTCCCCACTGTAACCCAGGGCTCTCTTGTAATTGCCACACACCATGAAAACCTACATCCCGCCCCCTCCCCAAATCTTACCTTTGTTGAGAGCGGTAAGAGGTTTCCGTCCACTCGGGTCAAATCCACCGGGGGCAATTGAAAACCTAGGCGGGATGGTTAGACAGGTGGTGGGCAACCGGGTGGGGATGTAACCTGATGTGAAGAACTCATCATTCAACAGTTCGTCAATAGTAGGGCGGGTGGCAGGGTCAGATCTCAGCATCTTCTGGATGAGATTAGCAGCTACGGGGTTGATGTGCTGAAAGAGGGGACAGGCAGGGTTCATGAGTGAGGGCCAGGGGATAAGCACAATGGATAGGTCAGCCCCACAACTAGAGAGGCTCTCCTGCTCCAAGCAGAGGGTGTGCATGGTTGGGGGTGGGGAGGAAGACTGGGACTCAGGCCTGGAGGAGCTGAGGAGGACCAGAGTTCTAAATGGCTCTCAGTGAGAAAGCTCCTGGTGCAAGTACAATGATTGCAGAAGGGCCTGACAGGCTGCAGGCAGGGATGGTTTGATACCCAGACCAGTTCTCCTCTGTGGCTGGACTCAGAATTTGAAGGAGGCCAATGGTAGGAACGGAGTTCGAGCCACTTACATGCCCACGATATCACCCAACAAAATATTGTAATGCATCTCCGTGCCAGTTTGGGGGGCTAGCGCCCCCTCCCTTCCCCTGGGAAGTTGGCCTTTCAAGTTAACACCCCTGCACTAAGACCTAGAAAGGTCTAACACAAATGTATCTCCTTGCTGGGTGTCTCCTCATCTGTACTCAGGATGCTGAAAACCATTTCCATGGTTATGAGCAGGCACCAGAGAAGCAATTTGGCTTCTGCACAGCTCCATGATATCGGCTCTTTCATTAAGGTGACAAAGATCGGCCAGGAGGACGAATGCTCCCCTCTGCAACAGGCTCCTTACCTTGGGGATGTTATACTCGTTCTTCTTAATTCGGATGTATGTTTCTTTTAGACAAGAGGTTTCAAAGGGTGGCTTCCCTACCAGGAGAGTGTACCTGTATATTTAAGAAATATAAAAGCCTGTCACAAGGAGAAGACCGCAAGATTTCCACGAGGTGTCTTTTGCAGCGGGGGGAAATCACCACACACCCAGGAGATGAAGGGCAGAAGACAAGTGAATTTGAAATGCCAGTTCGATTTCCAGTTCCCTGCTCCCTAAGGGAGGAGATTGGAACCTGGTACCTTCTGGAGAGAGTTCCAGCTAGAAGGTGGCACTTGAGACTTTAAAGAGATAACCTGCCCTACAACAGGAAGTTAGTCTGCAAATGCAGTGGGTGCACACACGGGCGGGTGCACACACAACAGCTGGCAGGTCAAGGTAAGCAGAAAAATTGCAGTGATGGTCAGATCTGAGGAATTTTCTGGAGATAGTCAAATCCCAGTTACAAAGCAAACGAGCCATGAAGGAAGCGGAGAATCATTACCCATCTCCACCCCTTGATTACTACCTTTATGGGAGTAGTCCTGCTAGGGCAGCCGAATTTTCAAACAGTTAATTTTAAATTGTAACATTTAAGACCCAGTCCGTACAGAGATTTGAACCATGTTAGCAGCATTGTAGCTAGAGAACAGCACACAGCTGGGTCTCAGGGTAGTTAGAGCCTCAGGCCCGGTCTACGTGTAAAAATCTGATCAACCTAGCTACATCGCTCAGGGCTGTGAAAAATGCCATGCCCAAGTGCTGTGGTTTAGACACAACTAGGTCAATGGAAGACTTCTTCCCTAGACGTAGCTAATGCACTCTCCTCCGAGAGGTGGATTAACTCCATCGATGGAAAAACCCTTCAGTTGATGTAGAAAGCATCTGCACTGTAACACCACAGCGGCTCTGCTGCAATGCCATAGCTGGTGTCGCATAGACGTACTCTTAGTTTGCACTTAACCAGGTCCTGGCTTGGAATTGGTCATCTTTGCTTTACAGCGTCTCCTTTAAGAAAAAGGCTCCTTACAATCTAAGATGAACTTGAAACCTGGAACCGATTGCAGTCTAGTTCAGTGAACTGGCTCATCTCGGCAGCCTTAAGCCCATTACATGCTGAAGGCCCAAGTTTAAGGGCACACAAACAAAAAGTGAAGATTTGTCATAAAACTTACATAATGCAGCCGATGGACCAAATGTCCACTTCAAAGCTGTGTCCCTTCTTGCCCAGCACTTCAGGAGCTATATAGTTTGGCGTCCCACACAGGGTCTTCTTACGCTCACCATCATATTCTACTTTGGTTGCCAAGCCAAAGTCACCTTGAAAGAAGGTGTGTGTCGGTCAGGGTTACGCACCAGGCAGACAAGACTTGTTTCCTTAGCTCAGCAGTTGACAGTCCGTGGTCACAGACCCTGCTGCTGAGCCACAAGTGGCAGAATTATAGGCAACAGCCTCCAAATATTGAGTCTTAAACAGCCCGAGAGAGGCTGGTTTCAGGGTAGCCCGCCCAGATAGGGGGACGTATTCTGGCATAAGTTAAGAAGCGATCATGTGGTTTTGTGGTAGCAGAGCATCCTCCTCTCTCTGCTGTCCTTTCTAGGAGCGCTCAATGGAGAGCATCCCAAGGAATCTTTGCAGCAAGAGACTAAGGGAAGGGGTCCCCGGGCTGTGACAGATT